AAAACTCTTCCACTTTTCTACAGCTTTGTGAAAGCCGTGAAGGGTAGAAAGTGATTCACTTATTCTTCATTGAAGATAAGCTCTTTGTTTAGTTTGCTTCACTTAGTAGCTCCTCTACTTAGAGGGATGAGTAGCACTTACTTTTCTAGCTTTGCCAAGGCCATGAAAAGTGAGTAGTTTCTCATTCACTTTTTAGTAAGAGATGATGAATATGTAAAAATTATTTGAAAGTTATGTTTTTGCAACTTCTTCATGCTTTAATGCTTTATACTCCACCTGTTCATTGGATGATTGAATGTATCTAGCAAAATTGAGGTACATTGTATAACCAATAGCTCCCTCTATGATACAGATGAATCCTGCATAGAAAGATCCGTTGGTTCAAGGCAAGTACCCCAGTTAGCTCTTCATGACAACATTTCAATCATCACCATTATTGCGCTTTATTCAAAGAATAGATCATTAATGTCATTGTTGGATGCCTTGTAGAAACACTTGCTTATTTGTAGACGGGTTAAGTCTCGGCACAGACAATTCTTATAAACTTATAGAAAAGCATTGGAATCATGTGTTTAATTCTTACAGTCCATCTTTATCTTCTGATTAACTTGCTATTGACATGGGAGTTAATTGAGTTATAAAGAACAAACATAATAAATTGGATACTCTATTACATGTCCTGATCATCGAGCTAAAGGGTGACTTTTACATTTTGAGAATCTTATATTTTGTCTAAAAAACTCTTGAAAAGAATCTTCTATTCTATTCAAGAAAACTCCACCACTCCAAACTCTCGAAATTTTCAGTTACTTGGTCTCTATTATTGCTTACTTCAAAACAAAAATCATAGTTTCCTGTGGATTCGACTCCGGACTTAACCGGATTATTACTATAACTTGATCTCCTGCACTTAGGTGTACACATTTCGGATCAAGTCAGGCACCTAGTGTATGTGGGGTCAAGACTGCTCAAGGAAATCAAAGACCTCCTTATCCAATTTCTAAAAAGAAACATCGCGGTCTGCGCCTGTAAGCAAAAGGACATGCAGGAAATTGATCCCTCAGTCATCACGCACAAACTCAGCGTGAATTCGACCTTCAAACCCATCAAGAAGAAATGGAGAAGCTTTGCCCTAGAGTGCTAGAAAGCTATAAATGAAGAGGTTTCCATGCTCCTCTATGCCAAGGCCATTAGGGAGGTAGATTATCCAACCTGGCTGGCCAATGTGGTCTTTGTAAAGAAGACCAATGACAACTGGTGCCTCTACATTGACTTCACTGACCTGAATCATGCCTACCTGAAGGATAGCTTTCCTTTACCTAGAATTGATTTGATCGTGGATGCCACAATAGGGCATGAATTGCTCAATTTCATGGAAGTTTTCTCGGCATACAACCAAATCAGGATGGACCCTGATGACCAAGAGAAGACATCATTTATGACCTAGCAAGGAACATACTGCTATTAGGTCATGCCTTTCAGACTAAAAAATACGGAGCCACTTATTAGTGATTGGTAAATTGCATGTTCTGGAAGAAGTTTCGAACATTAATAGAGGTTTACATCAATGACATGCTGATGAAGTCATTGAAAGCTGAGCTCCATATCAAACACCTCGAGGAATCATTTCAGATCCTCAAAAAATACCAAATGAAGCTTAACCCAGCTAAGTGCGCCTTCGAAGTCTTTGTAGGAAAATTCCTGGGGTTTATTGTCAACATCCGTGGCATCGAGGCTACTCCAAAAAAAGTCTGAGCTATAATTTCCATGCAACCTACCACAAACACCAGGGAGGTTCAATGTCTGACAAGAAGAATAGCAGTTTTAAGTCGCTTTGTCTTTTGATAAAACGATAAATGTCAAACATTCTTTCAAGTCCTAAAAAAAATATTCCAATAGGATACACAATGTGGAGAGGCATTTAAAGCCCTCAAAAATTATCTTAGCTCACCACTTGTTCTTGTGAGCCCTCGAGAAGGAGAGGTGCTCACCTTATACTTGGCAGTCTCAGACTTTTCCATTAGTGCAGCCCTGGTAAAGGAACTGGATCGAGCTCAACAACCAGTCTGCTACTGTAGCAGAGCTCTGAGGAGAGTAGAGGAAAGGTATCCAAAAATAGAAAAACTAGTCTTAGCTCTAGTAATAGCAGCAAGCAGACTTAGACCTTATTTTTAGGCTCACACAATAGAAGTCCCCACATATCACCCAATGAAGTAGGTCTTACACAAGCCAGAGTCGTCAGGGAGACTAGTCAAATGGGCAATAGAGCTCAGTGAGTTCAACATCAGGTACAAGCCCAGAACTGCTAACAAAGGACAGATATTAGTTGATTTCATCACAGAATTCACAATAGGTTAAGAGGCAACCCTGGATGTAATCCAACTGTCCCTAACCTCCCAACATGGAAGCTTTTTGTAGATGGTGCTACCAATGCCCAAGACAGTAATGCTAGATTGATTCTAACCTCCCTATACGGGATAGACATAGAGTACGCCCTTAGATTTGATTTCAAAGCTTCAAACAATGAGTTTGGGTATGAAGTTGTAATTTTTGGGCTCAATATGGTACATTCCATGGAAGTAGGGCAGCTCATGATTCATAACAACTCCCAACAAGTAGTTAAACAGATCGAAGAAGCATACGAGGCTAAGGGAGAAAAAATGGCTCTAGATCTAAAGAAGCTACAAGAATTGATGAAAAATTTTGTACAGGTTAAGGTCGTGCATGTCCCTAGAACAAAAAATTTTAGAACCAATGCCTTAGTCAGACTAGCCACTGCTTCTCAAGAGAACTTGGATAGGCTCATCCCAGTCGAACACCTAGTTGAGCCATCTGTAAGCTCCGAGGCTGGAGAGGTGCTCCCTATTCAGAATCAAACAACCTAGATGAACCCAATCAGGGAATACCTTTAGAATGGAGCCCTACTAGCAGACTCCAAAGAAGCAGCAAAGCTAAGAGCCAGGTCATCCAAATTCAACATCCTCCAAGAGAACCTGTACAAGTGGGGATTCCCATCACCACTCCTAAGGTGTGTTGGAGACGAAGAGGTAAATTACATTTACAAAGAGATCCATGAAGGAATCTATGGAAACCACATCGAAGCTTGAACTCTGGCTGGTAAAGCTCTAAGACATTTGGCCACAATACTCATGGACGCATTAGACCACATCGAAGCCTATTAGACCACAATGCTCATGGCTGGTAAACCACATCGAAGCCTGTTAGTTGCATTCCAGTATCCTACACTGCCCACCAGAGCTCCTTACCACAGTGGTTAGCCAATGGTCATTCCAGTGGTGGGGATTAGAAATACTCGGACCCCTCCTAACAAGCACTGGACAATGTAAATTTGCGATAATTGGAGTAGACTACTTCACCAAATGGGCTGAGGTTGAACCTAATGCAAAGATTACAGAGCAGAAGATCTAGAGCTTCACTTGAAAATCCATAATCCACACATTTGGAATCACCAGGGCATTCATCTCAGATAATAGGAAGCAATTCGACACTTCTAGGTTTAAAGGGTTTTGTGCTAAGTTAGGCATAAATAATTATATCTCGGCACCATCTCGTCCTCAGTCAAATAGGCAAGCAGAAATAACCATCCAAACTATCAAGACAGCTCTTAAAACAAAACTCAAAGCACTGAAAGGTCGATGGGTGGAGCACCTGCCAGAAGTGCTATGGGCTTACAGAACCACCGCCAGAGCAGTATCTCAAGAAACTCCTTTCGCCTTGGCTTATAGTACTGAAGCGATGGCCCCTATGAAAATAGGCATCTCATCCCCAAGAATAGAGTTCACCAACTTCAAGCAAAATGACAAATAACTTCTAGTCAATCTCGACCTCTTAGAGGAAAAAAGGGACAGAGCCTTGTAACACATCCTTGACTATCAAAGAAAAATAGCACAATTCTACAATAGGAAGGTCAAACATAGGAGTTTCAAAGCAGGAGATTTGATCCTCAAAAAACTTCTCCCAGTTGGAAAAGACCCCACTTATGGAAAGCTAGGGTCCAACTATGAAGGTTCGTACATTGTGTCTAGAGTGATCAGACCAGGGAACTATGAGTTGTGAACTGAAGAAGGAAGGGTTTTGCCTCACACCTAGAACGCTGACCATTTGAAAATTTTCTTTCAATAGCTAAGAACCCTACTTTTTGTAAAACTTCACTGCAATAAACAAGAAGTTTAAGATCAATCATCATTCTACAATTAGCAAATGATGAGCTCTTCAGATCATAAAACTACGATGAGCTCTTCAGCTCATAAGACAACGATTAACTCTTCAGCTCATAAACCTACGATGAGCTCTTCACTCATAAAACTATGTTGAGTTTCCCAGCTCATAAATCTAAGATGAGCTTCTCAATCTCATAAACATACGATTAGTTCCTAAACTCATAAACATAAGATGAGTTCTTCAACTAATAAACATACGATGAGTTATTTAACTCATAAACATGAAATGAGCTCTTTGACTCGTAAACACATGATGAGCTATTCAACTCATAAATTAAATATGAGTTCTTCAGCTCATAAACATGCAATGAGTTCCTTAACTCATAAGATGAGCTCTTCAGCTCATAACATACAATGAGTTCCTTAACTCATAAACATAAAATAAGTTCTTCAACTTATAAACATACGATGAGCTATTCAGCTCATGGATTAAAAATGAGTTCTTCGGCTCATAAATTTGACACTTAGCTAATAAAGCCATAGATGAGCTCCCTAACTCATAGACTCAAGCCAGGTTCTTAAGCCTAGGAACCCTTAAATTCAAGAGGTAAAACTCATACTTGGAAAAATTATGCTTCCAAAAAGATCAAGACTCTTCTCGAAAGAAAGGAGGCAAAAGAAGGAAGAGAAATATAAACAAAAGACACGCAAATTACGAAAATTTCCTGTTTATTCACACTAGCTACAAAACAAAAAAAAAAGGAAAATTATAAAACATAGGCAAGGCCCTAATTGCCCAAAGATGGATCTATAGCTAAGGGCAATTCAAAAGCAATCACTCCCCCTGACAAAGCTAGAACTATTGGGAGATCAGTTGAAGTAGGAGGGTCCCCAGGCAAAGAAGGATCAAAGGTCCCATCATTTGCAAGAATAGATGGAGGACGAGGAATGGCCAGGTCAGTCACAGGGATTTCCTCAGACATCCCAGAAGAATTTGACAAGAGTGGAGGAAGCTCAGGAGCTTGGGCTAGCTCGGGGACTTGGACCTCATACTCAATAGATGCTAGCTTAGAAGCCTCAGCCCTAGTCTCAGCAAAAATGAGCCAGGGGCCTCTATCTCGTCCCTAGTAGGAACAACGCCAGGAGCAATGACCTCGACTTTAACCTCCTCTTCAGCAACTGGTTCATCTTTCTCCTTGTCAAAGTCCTGATCTGGGAATTTGTCCATAGCCTGCTCTTGGAAGGCAAAATACCCCGCTACACAGTTTGTAGCAGATTCATCCTGGAGCTTAGCAGTCTGGGTATCCCTCTCTAGAACCTTGGCTCTCTCTGCCTCGACCTCCTTCAGTAGCGCAGCATTGACCTTTACCAGCATCTTGTATTCGTTCTTCATGGTTTGGGCAGAATCGCAAGCCTCAAAGACATCTTTTCGAGCTTGGAACAGGCCATCAGTCTTGAGCTTTAGCTTATCACCTTTTTTCCTAACCTCAGCCTCAAGGTTCACTTTTTTCAAGCTTAGCCCCTTAACTTGAGCCTACAAGTCTTGTACTTGAGCTCTCAGATCATCATTGGAAAAGGTCAATTCAGCAACCTTAAGCTCGAAGGCCTTCAAGGACTTCTGGGGCACCTCGGTAACCTGCTCTAGAGCTTGAACTCTGCTTACCAAGGCACTTACATGAATTTTCATCTGCGAAAACAAAAAAAAACTAAGGTCAGATAAAATACCTACCCAAAAATAAAGGTTAGAAATTCAAAGCTTACCGATGCTGCTCCATATAGAGAAGTAGTGGTTGAGGTAGATAGAGGCATCAAGGAAACTCCTGAAAATCATATTCATGGATAACAAATGAAATGGCATCGACAGCAAGGTTTACGTCCCTAATGAGCGAACCCTTGCCCTTGGTCACCTAACTTGACAAGCCCTTAAACCGCTGGTGAGGCGTCTCTTCTAAAGAATTTTGGGAGAAAGTATCTCGCAGGTAGGGAGCAATGGCTTCAAGGGCTACAACCATCTTCGCCGATGAAGTGGAGGACAAGACCCTAGCAAGTCTGACAGGCCACATGGAGGTAGGAAGAGATGTCGTCGGAGTCTTCTAGGGAAGAATAACTCCTTAAGAAGAAGAGACATTCAGAGTTTTCACTGTCAGAGGAGTTTTTTGGAGAGCTGATGGAGGTGAGGGAGTCGTTTGAGAAGGTGGGGGCGAAGACGAGCTTACTCTTGGCATTTTTTAGGAGGACCCAGGTCTCTTCCAGATCTGACTTCAACCTTGTGTTTCCCCCCAATTCTACCCTTCCTAAATGGGCCACCTTGCCCTTACTACCTTAGCATCTGGAGCCATCGAGCTGAGACATGAAAAATTAAAGTAAGCAGGTCAATAGATTCAGAAAGAAGAAAAGGTAAAGATAGGGATGGAGAAAGAAATCCTTACCAGTAGAATCCTCCACATCGACCATAGATATTGGGATAGGAGTCTCAACTCTCACCTCGGGAGGACTGAACCCGAATTGAGTGAACATTGCAGGCTTGAGAAGCTTTGAGTACTTCTCTGGATGATAGTCCTCTAAGCCCAGTAGGACAACCTTATCCTCTGCGTTGAGGTCGGACAAATACTTGAAAACAATAAAAGGAAACAAGGTCAGGAAGTGAAATACCGAACAAAGGGAAGAAGTCAGATCAGGCCACCTCAGTAAGGACTTACCTAAATTTTTAGGGGCTGACCAAGCCGGGGGTACAAGGAGAGTGTTAGTGGCATACCTCGGGTTAAACTCTCATTCCTTCCCAGACACCAAGAAAAAGAGCTTCTTCTAGCTCTTATGGGAACTTAGGAGGCTGAAGATTAAATTGGAGCTTTCACTTATTTAGCAATGTAAAGGAAGCCATTAGAGGGAGAGAATTTAACGTTAAAAAATTTCATGAGCAAAGGTATCGTAGGGACACCGAGCTCATTCTTTTTAAAGAAGACAAGGAGACCCACCAAAATGCCCCAAGAGTTAGGAGAAATTTTGGATGGACAGACATTGAAGAGTTGGAGAACAGTCTTAAGAAAGAGGTGTAAAGGAAACCTAAGGCCATTCTCAAAGGAAGCAGCAAAAAAGTAGATCTTCTTAGGCACAATGGTGTCACACCGAATGTCTGCATGAGAAGACTAGTATTGCATACCCCTAGGAAAGCCAAACCTGGCAGAAAGAACACTCAGATAGGGAAGGGTGACCTCACTAAAACCTACAAGGTCTAAAGCTTGGGGAGTAGGCTCAGCGTCTCCAGTACTGCCAAAAGTCCCAGCCCCGCCTTTCTTAGTCTTCCCTTATTGGGATGTCTCAGACCTTAGGGCAGATCCTAGGTAAGGCAAAGGGATCTATACCGCGTCCTCAACGTCAACAGAATCAACGCCTGGAAAGTTATCTATTTCATTGCCTATATCCCCCAAATCAACCTCTTCTAGCTCAGGAGATCTACCATTCATAACTAAAGAGACAGAGGAAACAGTGGCTTCAGACGAAACAAACATGAAAGTGTGGGAGAAAGGAAGACTAAAGGAGCCGTAAAGAGAAGAAATGTTGGTAAAACAATCTTCGAGAGTCTTGGGATCAAAACTCCAACGACCAAAGAGGAAAACCCTAGTAGTAGCGCAAGGATCCAAGAAGAAGGGAAGAGAAGATAAGGAACAACCTTAACCCCTAAAATAATAGAAATGGAAGGTCCAAAAATGGAATAACACCTAGGGCAAGCAGAATCCAGGATGGGCTAAGAACTCTAGGAAGAAAAGAAGAAAGGAAACAAGGCAAAGGATGTACCTAATTGAAGACAATCAACAATTGAAGACCTGAGATAGGTGGGAGGGATGAGCTAAGCCAACTTCGCTAACACTTCAAAGCCAATTTGATTTATCAGTGAAATCCTAAGTCGCCAGGAGATTGAAGAAGATGAAAGCGCAAAGGATAAAGGGAAGAAATCTAAAGGAGGAATGTGGATGGAATTTGAAATAACGATAAAATGAGGTTTTCGCCTACAAGATGTATTTAAGGCAAGTGTACGAATGGACACATGAAACCAGGGTGTGAAGGACGTGCACGAGAAATGAGGCAAAAATGATTGTACGTTTGTAATACTGTAACAGTCAAGAAACGTTCCATCGTGCGAATCCCAAGGTCGAACCAAGCTAACCACGTTCACCTAGGTTAGAGATCAGTCCCAACTCATGTAACTTACCTGAGTAGGGATTGGGGGCCAATTGATGATACCCTAAATATGCCTAAGGTTGAGGTCGGGTATTCAGAGCGAGCCGTCTAAGCTCAAGTCACTCAACCCATCTCGGTTGACCAGGGAATTTGAGGTCATTACCTCCTCTCCAACAACTACACCTCCGTAGGAATAGCGTCGAAGACAGCTGGCTTACACCTAAGCATCATACATAACGTAACAACCGAGCATCTAGGCAAAGAAATCGTATTTGTCTCATCAATATCCATAACAGTCCCGTGAAAGGTGCAACCATTACAAGAAGAGGGCAAAGCTCATGCCCAATATCATGCAAGGTCTATAAAGACTATAAATACGAGACATATCCCTCTCAACAAGAGACAAGCAACTTTAGCCAAAACAGATAACCTATGTAATCTTCGTCATCATCAATAATATCTTCAGAAAAAAGTGACTCCCTTCAGAGTGGATTAACCAAGCTACCAAACATGTGAACTATTATAAACTCTCTGTGTGCAATCCCCCTTTCCCTTGTTCAAATTCTTAAGAGCCTAGGAGCTCTGATTGAGCTATTCAGTGACCCTTTAGTCCCTAACTATCATTAGCTCTACTCATTTGTGTGACATACATCATCAGTTTCCTTGTTTAATTTGAACTCTGTTATTACAAATAGCCAACTATGTAACCTAAGGGGGCTTTTGATGAATTAATAAAATTGAGAGAGTTTTCTCTTTTCTCCAATTCATCTAGTATTCCTAGGAATCAATAGATTAATTGATGCATCTAGAATTGGTATTTTGAGTGAATCAACAGGCCTAGAGTATCAAAATTAGAGAGGAATTCTGAATTGGTATTTATATGCAATCAACGATTTAATTTCATTATGTTTCTAAACCCTTTTTTGTTCATTATATTCGTGTGTTTACACGTTTTCCTGCATCACTACTCTTCAATGGTTCGTGAAAAGTTGCTTCAAATGTGATATCTATTTTTTGAGGAATCATGACATCAAAGCGAGAGTGGAACTTGCACATTAGATGAGCTCAATCTCGTGGACCAGATGAAGGTCGAATCCACCCATGTGGCACATGCTCTTACTTTTATATCTCTTGGTCTCTAATGTTTATTTGGTAGGATAGATTACAAAAATTGGAGAATTTTTTTGATATTTGGCATGGATGATAAATTAATAGTTGACCTTTATATCCTCATATAAAATTAATTTATCTATCATACTGAAACATGTATATTAATTAAGGAGTAAAAAAGTAAATAATCTACGTTTTCACACACAGACTGATCTTCTGTTCCACTTGTTCGCCCAATTTTTGAGAGTAAGATATTGATGGACTAAATGTGCTCAATGTTATATAAATGTTTTTACGCCTTTTCTCGAGGTTAGATTGTTTACGTACGTCCATCAAACTTCAATAAAGTTGAAATTGATCAAATTTTTTCTATGGTAACAATGTAGATTGCATGTTTGAAAAATTGACGAAACATGGATGGAATATCATGCCACACATCAGCAATGTCGGGCCGGAGGGCAAACCCATAAATTCAATAAGAAAGAGCTGCAAATGCTGCTTCGCTAGATTTCCAAAGGTCGATGGGCGGCTGAAGGTTGCCACAAGTAAGTCACTTTGAGAGACCAAATGCAGTTTTCCGTGCACCGGACATGTAGCTTACCACATCAGTCTGTTGCATGATACCGTGGAGGCCTTTTAGCACCGCTAGCTATGAGTCAGTCGGTTAGTCCGTCCCAAGAGTCCCATTGAATGGAATTTTTTTATTTTTTTTAAACAAAAGACGATGTTTTATTCATTTCTTTACTTTCCTACCCCCCCCCCCCCCCCCTCCGTTTTTCTAGTGCGATGTGGACCATGCTGTTAAAGGAACAAAAATCATACAATACTGAAGTATTCTC